ACAAACTTTAATACAAGGACCAAAATATAACACAAAAGGATTTTATTTGTAATTTATTTAGCGAGGTCACTGAATTCAAAATTGCAAGTACAAATCAAGAACATTTCTAGATTAGCTCAAATTAGAAAAGACGTTTAGTAAAAAGAAAGAAAATAGCTTACAATGAAAAACTTAAAGTGGCAAAAAAAAGGACAAACATAATATGGCTTAATTTAAGTTGATATAAGGGTCGTGAAAAGAGTAACTAAAAGTTTATACACAATGAAAGATAGTGGGTTGAAATTTTGTTTCGTAAGTTATTCCCATGTTGTAATATAGTCGCCAGTTGACTGCGCAACTTAATCTTCAACCAATTCATATGTTGTAATATAGTCGCCAGTTGACTGCGCAACTTAATCTTCCACCAGTTCATATGTTGTAATACAGTCGCCACTTGCTGGTGCAACTTATTCTTCCATCAATTCCTATGTTGTAATATAGTCGCCACTTGACTGCGCAACATAATTTTCCACCAATTCATGTGTTGTAATTCAGTCGCCACTTGCTGGTGCAACTTAATCTTCCACCAATTCATATGTTGTTATACAGTCGCCACTTAACTGTGCAACTTAATCTTCCACCAGTTCATATGTTGTAATATAGTCGCCACTTGACTGTGTAACTTAATCTTCCACCAGTTCATATGTTGTAATATAGTCGCCACTTACTTGTGCAACTTATTCTTCCATCAATTCCCATGTTGTAATATAGTCGCCAGTTGACTGCGCAACATAATTTTCCACCAATTCATATGTTGTAATTCAGTCGCCACTTGACTGTGCAACTTAATCTTCCACCAGCTCATATATTGTAATATAGTCGCCACTTACTTGTGCAACTTCATCTTCCACCAATTCATATGTTGTAATACAGTCGCCACTTGACTGTGCAACTTAATCTTCCACCAATTCATATGTTGTAATATAGTCGCCACTTACTTGTGCAACTTAATCTTCCACCAATTCATATGTTGTAATACAGTCGCCACTTGACTGTGCAACTTAATCTTCCACCAGTTCATATGTTGTAATACAGTCGCCACTTACATGTTCAACTTATTCTTCCATTAATTCCTATGTGTAAATATAGTCGCCACTTACTTGTGCAACTTAATCTTCCACCAGTTCATATGTTGTAATACAGTCGCCACTTTCATTGTAACATAGACAAGTTTTTTAACGTAATATCCGGACACACAGCATTATAGATAGCGCAGGTTAGTGTCAGTCCAATTACTACTAACAGATTATAAGATATCTGAAAACGTTATATAGTATACGCATGAAGCACCTTTTAACAAGTTCTAGCTTAGTCAAACGGCCTAGATATATATATATATATAGAAATTTTATTATAGCAGTAGTTCAAAAACTCTGCACCCAATTTCGCTGCTTAATAAGAAAAGATACATTCTATTTATTCCCTCATTATATTTTTGATGATTTGGTGTTTAGAAATTTTGTGAAGTCCTAGCTTTTAAGATTTCTTTTTCTTCCGTCAAAGTTAGGTCCATTTTTAGTACATTCTTCTGTGTTGTACATTTCACCAGTGATAATTTAGCACAAACTGATTTATTTTCTTATTAGCTTATTAAAATTTCTGCCTCCGTTTCTATGCACCAGTCTCTCTCTTTCTATTAGCTCGTCTTGGACCAAAAGCTTATTATATATTGAATTTACGTCACCGATTTCCTTTAACTTAGAAGCTTTTTTTTTAATATCAAAACTGACTCCAAGCATGATTCCATTTTCTAAATTTATAATGCCTATAAAATATGCGGACTATTCGCTCGCCTGTTGTTCAGGAACAGATGTAAGCAGAACAATCATGTTACGCCAAGCACAAAAGAAGAGATGACGAAATAGACAATAAATTGAAAAAAAAACACAACAGCGTCCTCTAAGATTTTTATAACAGTCACTCCTATCTATTTTGAAAAAAATAAATGTGATTTCGTATAATACATTTTTTTTATAGTGATGATGAAACTCAACCGTCCATAAATAGTCTTCTGATTAGGATCGAACAATCTGATTTTAGGAACGCACACTACATGATTTTAGCAAGATTAGCTTTAACAAAGATTAGCAAATCATTCGTGATTTTAAGAACAAATCTTGCATGCCTTTATTGAGGTAACTAACCTGAGACAGGGAAACTAATCTTTTTGGAAGTACATTTTCTGGACTAACGGGATGAAATTCAGGATGCTAAGCTTGTTCGTTTTACTT